CGTATTGTGAACCGATTTAGTGGTGGTGTTTTTTTTTGGGATACAGGTAGGTGTTTGTTGATAATAGATGGTGTAATATGGAATTATATTGGATTTAGGGGAAAAATACTTGTTATTTTGAAATCATATTAGCTTTGGAAGCATTAACCTAAATGCCGTGATTTTTTTACTGGAATATAGGTATTTAAGTACAACAACCTTTGTGTGATTTGTAATAAATATATAGTTTTGTTTTTGTAATACAAAGTTTTCGAGATATTTTTTCTATAAAATTGTTATATGGCTTATCTATACTAATATATAAGGTCCTTAAGTGACTGACATACTGATTAATCACGATCCTGCTCAAACCACTCAACGTAAGAAGCTCAATTTTGACATACAGGTTGATTTTAGGGTGTAGAGGTTCGATAAGAAGGGATTTTTCGAAATTCCAGTTCCAAGAGGGTGAAACCACCCCTCAAATATTACAATATTTTTTATTTAAAAAACGGCCAAGTTTCCGAAACAACACGTATATTTTATTTTGTTTTTTTTACATATTTTAAGATTTTTTAAAAATGTATACAGGGTGTTTCGAAAAATCTGGTCATTGATTAATCACGATCCTGCTTAAAGCGCTTGATGTAAAAAGCTGATTTATGGAAAACAGATTGACTTTAGGGTGTTTAGGGGGTTTCGAAACTCGATTTCTAAGGGGGTGAAACTATCCCTCAAATATTAAAATATTTTTTATTTAAAAACCGGTGAGTTTTTCGGAAAAACTCTTAAACACGTATATTTTATTTTGTTGTTTTACATATTTCAAGATTTTTTATAAATTTATACAGGGTGTTTCATAAAATGTGACCAATGAGTAATCACGATTCTGCTTAAACTGCTTGACGTTTAAAGCTGATTTTTGGCAAACGGATTGACTGTGGGGTGTAGAGGTTCGATAAGGAGGGGTTTCTCGAATCTCAAATTCCAAGAGGGTGAAAACGCCCCTCAAATATTACAATATTTATTTGTTATTTAAAAAACGGTTAGTCTTTTGGGAAAACGCTTGGACAAACATAATTTATTTGTTTTTTTTACATATTTTGAAATTTTTTAAAAAATCATACAGGGTGTTCCAAAAAGTTGGGTAATTTCTTAACCACGATTCTGCTTAAACTGCTTGACGTAAAAAGCTTATTTTTGGCAAACGGATTTTTCGAAAGTCAAATTCCAACGAGATGAAACTACCTCTCAAATATTACCAAGTTGTATAATAATATCGCCATATTGTTTTTTCTCATGCCGACATAAATGTGAGAAAATTTTATCCAGTTTGTATGTTAATGGTAATTTTTGCTTTGCTTTATCATCACCATTACAAATGATTAATTTGACGCGAACGAAGTCGCTGGTACACGCTAGTACATATATTTTTTCTCTTATATATATATATATATATATATATATATATATATATATATATATATATATATATATATATATATATATATATATATATATATATATATATATATATATATATATATATAAGCAGTGGAACGGTAGTCTTGGCCGACTAGCAAAATGGTGGTTCAGTACGGCCATCCGTATTTCTTCTAGATGTAATTGAATAAGTTCAACAGTTACAATTCTTCTTATAAGATGAAAATACTGAAATACGATTTTAAAAGTGTCGATCCAACCTGCATGGAATGTTAAAGGTTTTTCTGTTTTGCGAGGATTGCCGACGATTTTTTATTGATATGTAAATTAATATAAAGTTAATAACTATCTCCATATTGTAGCCTTGAAGAAGAAAATAAAGATTTTTCGAAAGCTTGGCAGCAGTAATAAATGAGTTTTCATTAAATTTTGCCCTTACGACTAGGCCGTTACCCCAATTCAAAATTCTGGTTCTATATATATATATATATATATATATATATATATATATATATATATATATATATATATATATATATATATATATATATATATATATATATATATATATATATATATATATATAAAAAAGAGGAAAGAAATAGTGAGGGAAATGTATAAAAAAGAAGAAAAAAGATTAAACGGCTCAGCCCTCAACAACTCGTAACCGTATACACCAGTGTACACCAGTGCAGACACGCACACTTTTTCTCAGCGTATTTTGTGATAATGTCTACATTATTAATGTAGAAAAAAGTGTAAGTGAAAAAGAGAGCTGCATCAACTGCTCTTCTTGTTTTTACGCAAACAGTCAAGAAAATCTAGAAAAAGAATATGGGTTAAAGAATGGATTGCCAGAAGGCCTAGTCTTGGAGCTTACGCGATGTTATTAAAAAAAATAAGAAATGAAGACCCAAAGCATTTAAACAATTTTCTGCGAATGTCAGAAGTCGATTTTACATTTTCTTTTTATAATTTTGTTCCACTCCTGGTTTGCTTGGGTGCGAATATTATGTAGCTTCCGCTGAATCTCAGCCTCAGTTTTGTTGAATTTGTCAGCTATAAATTTGATTGCTTCTGGCTTTTTAGCTCTATCTCTGTAAATTTTCGATTTTTTGCCACAATTCCCGAAATCCTTCAAATAAATTAATCAAAGCGATGGTATCTTCTTTCGACCACATACTCCATTTTAATATCGTTATTTAACACGCTTTCGAAAATCACTTGCACCAAAAACTTTCAACAAGACGGAAATAAATTTTAACTTGCCAGAGCACTATCCCAACCTGTTTACACTTGCAAGCGTCTTTCGCCGCAACCACTTCCCCGCCAGTTTTGTGACTGGGTGAATACTTTCGGATACTGTTTACATTATGCAAGTTTGGTTGAAGTGCTCTCAGACATATATTTGCGATAATTTACTTGCCCGTGTAAACTACGCTTAAGGAAAGCATTGAACTTCTGAAAGTATTTCCAGAAATATGACGCGAAACATTTCGGGCATAGTGTAGAGGGTGTTTAACAGTATGTCAAACTTTTTTTTGTAACCAACCCAACCCTTCCGGATGCCCCGTAGCTACAGAACAGATAGATGTACTGTACATAAATATATGTGCAACTTAAAATAATAGAAATTAAAGCGTTCAAATATTTTAAAATGTGATTGATATAATAATTTGATATAATGACCTAAAAATTGCTTTTTTTTTGTTTTTTTAAGCGATTAAATGACGAATCATTTATTCCATCAACAGTTGTGAAAATTGAAAATCGAATATATTTTGAATGACAAACTGGGTAGGTTTAACTTCATTTTTGAAATGGAACTATCTATTTCTTTTAAATTAATCCAATATCGGTTCGGAAGGGTCCGTAATTACCGTAAAAGGTGGATGGAGATAGCATTCCGCCGTTAGATCAAAAAGGCCGAAGACCGGGCCATAAATAAACCCATAAAAACCGATCCCTTTCTATAATATATATCGAGAGAGACGGGGAGTTTTTCCTCGTGACCGCGGTCCATTGCTTCTAATATACGGCCCCGAATTCCGATATGGAAACTCGAGGCCATAAATTCAAAATTGAACCAGCCATAAGCAAAACTTTCCATCTTCATCGCGTTTCGGCTCCAATTTATATTCAGGACCCTTAGAAAGGTACCCGGTGTGTGTGTTCCTTTTTCTCATCCCTAAATTTATGTTTTTTTCCTTTTGGAGTCTATTTTTGATAAAAATTAGTTTATCCTTTTTACCCTCTGCTTGTTTATCTTCAAAAAAATGTATATTTAATCTTTATGCCTTATCCAGAACCTCGAATTTAATGGAATAAATTACTGAATTCAGTTATGCTTTATACTTAAGAGTTTACGATCATTCACCATATTAAAGACACTCTAATTCTAACAGAAGCTTACAGTAATCAGTAGTAGGGCCATTACAGCTTTGGTTTTTTAAAATGTAATTGCTCTCACATGCGTAATAGCATAATAATTATAATTAGTGGAAGAAGTTAAAAGCAATAACATAAAATTAAAAAAAAATTGTGGCTGGTGCGGTGAATCGTATTATTGAAGAGTTTTATCTCTTTCTTCAATATATATTAGTCGGTTTAGAACGTTTTTCTACGTTGTCCGATACCCAATTTCCAGCCTGTTCTATTCGTACAATCCTCTGTTGACAGGTTTCTTTCACTCATCGCTTTGTGTACGCTTTTTTGCCATTCCAGTATCGGTCTTCCCTGTTTTCTTCTGCCCTTTGGTTGCCAATTGATTATTTTCTTGGGCCATCTAGTGACCTTCATTCGCTCTACATGTCCGTACCAGATCAGCTGCTTTTTCTCTATATCCTGTGTTATAGTACCTTCTATACCCATTTGTTGTTTTATGGTATTAATTCTTATTCGTTGTTGTCTTGAAATTCCCATTGATCTTCGAATGACATCAATTTCTACGGCCTCTATCCTCTTCTTGTATCTCTCAGTTATTCTCCATGTTTCTGCTCCATACAGGAGGTTGCTCTTTATCATGGTTTCATATATATTGAATTTTCTTCGCTTTGTTATTGATTTGCTCCATAAGATTCCATTTAGACATCTGCTTATTTTTTTCGCGTTGATAATCTTTTTCTCTATTTCTCTGCCGTCAGTTCCAGTGTTATCAAATGTAATTCCCAGGTACTCATACTCTTGACACATGTTAATTTCGTGACTGTTGTCCAAGTTTCCTTCTTGTGCGCCTATACATAGATATTTTGTTTTGGCTGTGTTAACTGTCAAGCCCCATTCTCCGTATTCTTCAATAAGTTTTCTTAGCATATATTGCATATCATCTTTGTCATTGGCAACTATTATTTGATCGTCTGCGAATTGAAGTGTGAACAAACATTCATTGTCAATCTCTATGCCCATACCACGGATCTTTCTTTTCCAATTTTGTAAAGCGACTGCAACGTATATTTTAAAAAGATTAGGGAAGATGCAACAACCTTGACGCAAGCCTTTGTCGGTTATAAATGTTTCTGTAAGCTCTTTTCCTACCTTTATTTTTGATTTTGCGTCCTTATATAGTTCTTTAAGAGCTGTTATATAAGTATAGTTGATTGTTCTAGTACCCTCCATAGTCTTGATATTGGGACAGTGTCGTACGCTTTCCATAAGTCAACAAATGTTATATGTGTGTCCAAGTTTCTTGCCGATCTTTTTTCTATAACTTGTTTTAAACAGAACACGTTATCTGTACACGACCTTCCTGCTCTAAAACCATTCTGTTCTTCCTCCTTTTCTCTATAATCTTCTTCTATGAGATCACGTATAATTCTACCATATAACCTGCTCATTGCGCTCGTCACTGATATACCACGGTAGTTGCTGCAGTCCAGCTTATTGCCTTTTTTATGGATCGAAGATATATAAGCTAGCTTCCAGTCTTCTGGAACGGGATGTCCGTTTAAGAAAATATTGGAAATTAATGCCAAGCTTATAAATAGTTTCTGCGTACCATTTTTCAACATTTCGGAGTATATTCCTTCTGGGCCGCTTGCTTTCATAAAATAATTAACTAGAAAGAAGTGTCAACTCTGTGTTAAATCGTGGAAACACGATACGCCACCGAAAGCCTTCGTTGTCGTCTGGAGAACTAATTTTCCAATTGACAGGTTGACATGATAAGGACATGATGGCTTAATTTTCATTTCCGTTTCCGGTTATTCAATGGCGGGTCCTCTTTCAGTTCAAATGTATTTTTGTATCCTGGGTTCTTAATATTTGAAATACATTTCCATATTTCTGAGCATTTTCTTCCACCTATGTAGTTATTAAATTGCTCACACTTACTATCCCATGCTAATGTTCTTAGCTCTGTTAATATGATGTCCTTAGTTGCTTCCATTTTGAAATCTTATATTCTTCAAGATCGCGTTCTGTTTTAGTAGATAGTCATTTCAGATATTTTGTTTTTTTCTTGGACATAAGACTACTACAGAATCTCATCGTTCCACCAGAATTTCTTGTTGGTAGAGTATTTTATTTGTTCCTTTATTACCTTTATGGTAGCGACAATTAGACTACTTTTAATATTCTCGTAGATTTCATTAAATGTGCATTCCTCAGGATCCAAGAGCTTACTATCGAGTCGTCTTTGATACAAAAACACAGTACTGTCATCATTAAAGCTGATAAAGTTATATTGTACTGTATTCATTGAAAAAAAAATTTTAAAAATTTTGGAATTTTTTTTATTTTTTAGTTAAAAAACATAATTTCTTGATAATATGGCAACATATGTATTAGATTAAATTTACAAGAAAGAAAATCCAGAAAAGATCCAGTGGTTCTCAAAATTTTAGCAAAAAAAACATTTTTTTTGGAAATTTTCAAAGTAAAATAACTCCGTTATTTTGGACTTGACACCGTTATTTGAAAAACGATAAAGAGAAAATATGTTTCTTTTATCGAGATCTGCCACCCCTTAAAATACTTGCACTTATTTCTGGGACACGCGCGCTGTATATCGAGAATCTATGGTTACGCTCGTTGAATTTGACACCTTATGCATAGATAAAAGAAAATAATCTACTATTAAGATAGATATGAAACTTAATAGTAAAATTTTGGGTCAAAAGCGCCCTTTGGTGCGACAAGTGGAGACTACGTTTAACTGTAGCGCCTTCGTCTTTTCTGCTGTAAATTTTTTTATGTTTATATTTGAATTCAAAGTTTATTTTTTAAAAGTTACACTGATATATTAGTATATCAGAGTAACTTTAATAAAAAACATAAGAATATATATATTTTACAATTTATTTTTTATTTATTTTACAGAGTTTCAAATAAATGATTTTGTTTAGAAACTCTGGCTGTCTAATGAATAGACCGAGATTTATAGATTTTAAAGCGAACGAAAAAAATCAAAATGCCAATACATTACCATAACTTTTCTTTCGATCAAGATACATACCTCATATTATTTTGGAAACACGTATATTTTTCAGTTTTGTTAGTTTCTTTGCAAGATGCAACGCAATAAGAAAACAATATTATTTTTACAGTTAATAAATAATAAAACTATTTCTGACTATGATATTTAAAATTTAGATAGGTAGAATTTTAAAAACTATGTTTCTATTTGCATAATTTTGCTGCCCAAATTCAATTAAAAATCAAAAATTTTCCTAGGATTTTTTGATTTATCAGCAGTCATTGTCAAGTTGACAATATAGCAAATTTCAAAAAATTTGAAAAAACCGATTTTTTTTCTAAACCTGCTTCAGGCGGCCGGTAATCGGTATTTTATAGTTGAGTTTTGAGTTGAACAGTTGCTTGATGGGACGCGGTAGAGTGTTGCATGGGTGTTGCTGTTGCGTTTGGTGCCGTGGTGCGATTAGTTATTAATTATGGAAAAAAAAGTTAGTAGTTAAAAGTAAGTAAAATACTATAATAAATAAAATAATTTAATACTCTTTTTACTCAGCTGAACTCGCTTTTGAATTTACATAAGCAAAAACTAAAAATAATAATTTTTCTTGACTGGCCATCCTTTTTCAACAAAATTGATCTTTTGAGTTTTTTCTTGTTCATCAAACGGTTGTCCAGAAAAAATAAATATACTTATTAATAGCCCCTTAATTCGTTTTCTAAGGATTTTTATTTTTCACTGCAGATTAATTAGGAAACACCCCTGTATATGCATATCACAGGCAACCAAATAAACTAGTAACCTCTAAAGATTATTTATTCTACCACTAGCGACATACCGTGTTTTAGTGTGTACTAAATTATTTTAGTAAAATTTCATCATAAAGTAACAGGAATGACCTTATGTCAGTTTAATAATACATTTAAAATTTTTTGTCATAGCTCCCAAACAGCTATTTTACGGACTCATTTCAATCCGTAAAATGTTTCATTCGGACTCGAACCGTAAAGGTCGTCATCATGCAACCTTTATCATCTAAAATGTCTAAATTACGTTACTTTTTCGTGGGAAATAATTTAGCAATATGCTTCATACTACAACGAATACTTTTAACAGAGATATTTTTCCCCTTACTTTAAGATTTTATTTTACTCAAATGGAACAAAAAGAAAATTGTTCGGAAAAGGTTGAAAAAGTCTCAAATTTAAAAAATATATTTATTCAGACTAAGTAAAAACTTTTGTCGCTTCCAATTCGTTCGTATCTTAAAACAAACTTTTACCCTTGTTTATATCATATACAAGGCTTTTACTAATATTCATTCTGAAATAAGTTACTCAAATGCAGATTGAATATACTTTAATCAAAGAAACCATTTTGTCTTTCCATTCATTAAAAACATCATATTCTTTCTGGTAAATGGCACGAGACTTCACAGGAAGTAAATCCAACACGATTTCTTTGGCCTTATTAGCAATATGTTCGGGATTTTGGAACATTTGAAAATTGTTGATGAATCGTTTGTGATTTTGTGACAAATTTCGAATGACATGTAAAAAATGCGATGAAATAAAACAAACTCGATTACTAAGATATGAATTTATAAGCCAATTTATTTCAAACATAATAATTTCAAATATGGAAAATTTCTTTGCAAATATGCGTTCTACAAACTGTAAAAGCGTATGACAAAAAATAGAGTATTAACATGTTCAAAATAAATTATGTTTTTAGGACTCATTAAACTATTGCGGACTCAGCTAACGCCTCGTCCGCAAACAGTAATGATTCGTCCTAAAACATCATTTTAGGTACTAGTTACATACTGTTAGTTATATCGTACTTTTATGATTAGGCGTAAAAAATTTTACTTTTTTTTTAGTTTTAGTTAAAAACTATAATTTCTTGATAATATGGCAACATGTGTATTAGATTAAATTTACAAAAAGAAAATCAGAAAAAGATCTAGTGGTTCTCAAAATTTTAGCAAAAAAACAATTTTTTGTAAATTTTCAAAAGTAAAAATAACTCCGTTATTTTGGACTTGGACACCAAGCGTTCTAAAAAACTGTAAAAAGCGTATGACAAAAAATAGTGTATGTAACACGTACCTAAATTATGTTTTTTAGGACTCATCTACTATTTCGGACTCGGCTAACGCCTCGTCCGCAAACAGTAATGATTCGTCCTAAAAAACATCATTTTAGGTACTAGTTACATAAATAGCTATTTCGTACTTTTATGATTAGGCGTAAAAGTGCTTTACTTTTATGCTTAGGCGTTAAAATGACTTTTTTGTATTGTCAATCACGTCGCAAAAATTAATACTTTGATGTTTGAAAAAAAAAGATATTTTATATCATAATTATTTATTGAAGGAAATTGAAAGTGTAAGTAAATTAGAGTTTTTAAGTTTTCAAAAATCAACTTGAGCAAGATTTTTAATAGTAATTTGTTTAACTGCTAATATTAAAATGTTATTAAAAAATATTTTCATAATCCTACTAACTACTTTAGAAGTAAACTACAACTTATAATTTTAAAACGACCTAATTTTTTTATTCCCTGTATTTTTCACTACCTTTTTTCGAGCTATGTAAAACCAATAAGCCCTTCCAGGCAAAATCAATAGGTAGGATAATAGTGTCAACCCGTCCGCTCCCCCTCTAGAGAACCCATCGGGAACATCTGTGCAGTCTAATGTGTCGCTAACGTATGCAGAATATTATAATGTGTAAAATTATGCGCCAAAAAACTACCTGGAACGAACGATATGAGGGTCCCGCGAAAGATGTACGGCGTGGAAACAAAAAATAACGGGGTTAAGGGTAGGTAGAGAGGTTACAATGGTCGGATTTAAATCGGTAACTGAAATTGCGGCGGTACGTAATCCACTTGGTTTAGTCGGAACGTTTTCTGTGTCGAGCAGCCTGATGGGCGGATTTAAATATTCGAAAATAGGGCAGATTTTCGTCTACAGGGTGTTTCAAAAAACATGTTTCATCTTTCGTGGGGACATTCCTCTCGTAAAAATAAGATTTATTTTTCATATTAACATATAGGTCCGATTCTGCTTTGTTTCTACAGGGAGTCTTCATCTTTTTTCGATTTAAAAAAAGAAAGTTTATATAAGTTCTACATATTTTAATGCTAAAAAAGTGTCGATAAATTGATCAGGGACGTGCATATGGGTTATCACTGGAATATTTTTCAAAAAAAACATGTGCGCCACTGGCTTTTTTCTCTTCTTGTTAGCTAAGCTGTGTAAAACGTTAAATGCTGATTAAAAGTTGTCTCTTGATATTTTGTACTAACTAAGCAGCCTAAGATATTTGCACTAACTACAGATGTATAGCTGTATCTGACACTCTTACCAGATTGTACGGAAAAATACTAAAAACACTAATAGAAAATGCATTTAGCACCCATGAGATTGAAGAACAAGCCGGGTTCAGGACATGCGACTCATGCATTGATAATATCTTTCCAATAACTACTACTACTTTCCAATAACTAATACTCATTGGGAAAAAGACGGCAACGAATAACGACCAAATTCATCTCCTGTTTGTGGGCCTTAGCAAGGCTTATGATACG